TCTTTGTCTCGATTTGGCTACTAATGCAACTGCGTTTGTCTCTAAAAGCCTTTGTATTTCTGAATCTAACCATGATTACTGGTTCTTTGTTAGTGGGTACTGGGGTGGGTCTGGTTGCATTGACAGTTCCAACAGCCCTTTTGGAAATAGTGGAATTCCATTTCTGAGCCAGTTTATAATAAGGTCTGAGGCAAGAATCTTTCTCCTCCAATATTCTACATGCTTTTCCATATGTAAATGGCCTACTACAGAGATCAATTGCTGGGCCCGAGCGTAGTCAATCATTGTTTGTATTTTCTTGTAGCTTATTAAATCTGTTTTTATATGTTGAATATCACGTGAACGATAGTTAAAGGTATTTCCATTTGGATCAGAGGGGCATGCGTTTGCAAAGTGGCTGAGGCCTCCACAGATGTAACATTTGCCTGAAGTAGTTGAGGGATAGTTTTGGGACTGGTTGTATAGACGAAAAAACTTGCCAGAGCTTGAATTTCCGCCCTTGTAGGCTTCATGGTAATTGTTCCCGCTTGGTAGTTACCTTTCCCTAAGTTTCGAGTTTTTTGTCGTTTACTTTTCCTGACATCTGCTAGAGTTTTTGCCTTCTCAATTAGATCATCTTTTCCTTTTAACTATTCGTCTTGTGTATCAGGTAAAGCTGATGCGATCTCCCAGCCATATCCTTCAGCTACCTGTAATGTAAACATTCTATTTGCGATTTTTTCTCAGGCTATATCTATATAGTTTACAGCATCATGAACATCCCTTGACTCTATAGCTAGGTCAAGTTCTTTTCCTACTATGCGTAATGTATCATACTCGTGCTGGTCACGGAATCTCTCAAATTTGTGGGTTGGCCAAGCAGCATTTATTTCCACTCTTTGGCAGGTGTCTTGCACCTGATCGGCCACTGAATTCAGTCTGTTATTAAAGCATAAAATAGCATTTTCTAGTTTCTTAAACTCTAATAGCATTTTCTGTCCCAGAGTTTGTGTACCTTCATTTTCGTCTTCTTCTTGAAGCCTGCAGTTCCTCACGTTCCTTAACATTTCATATGTATCCTCCACTAAATGATGTTGTGAGCTTTGTCCTTCCTCATCTTGAGGGGTGGCGAATCTTGATCGTGGAATTTTTGTTTTTCCCCTTGACTTTTGTACGAGTTCCCTTAATGTTTGCATTTGGGAATTGTTTTCATGTACTTCATTTACTTCATTTGGATATTCTGAACCCACTGAACCATCCTCTTCATCAACAAGATATGTATCCCTTTTTGATTTTACAGTTTGTTCAGGTCTCGTACGATTTTCAGCACTTGAATAGTCCCTT